TGAAGAGAGGAAAAACATGTGGCTCGTATGTGAGGGTGAACTTCTCGAGGCACAGTGTTGGAGGCAGGGCAAGGCCACTTGCTTGGCAGGATTTTGAGGGATGGAGCAAAGCATGAGTTCAGCAGGGAAGAACCCGCTCTTGGCAGGGAGCTGGCGGGATAATCTGAGTGGCCTTTCAGTCTCCCACTGCCATGGAGCCACCCCAGCTCCCTGCTCCCACAGGAGACAGCTGCTCTCCTGTGTGAGCACATTGTTCACTGTCCTACTCATCAGAATCACTGCCTGGCTTCTCTGGGGCTAGAAATGAGGCATTTGGGTGTGCAGAGACATAAGCAACTGCAACAGGTACTGAACTGCTGGACACAGCTGGGAATCCCAGTGGGTCCCTGCAATGTCAAGTACTCACCACTGAAACTCTAAATCCAGGAAATTAGGTTATAAACCCACTAAAGCAGGAACGATCCTTTTGTTCTCTCTTATTTAACACCTAACACAACAGGACTCCTGGCTCTGCTGCGAGGACACTGTTTATAGTAATAAAAATAGGATCTAATAGGATCTAATAGGCTGAGGCTACTTGGCTCCTGAGAGGCCAAGGATGAGAGGGGCATTCCAAAGCAGTCCTAGCAGAAGGTACCCTCAATAACAGAAAGCTCTGGAGAGAGGTGGTAAACTGATCCAGAGCCCACAGCAGAAACACACACACACACACGTTTAACTTAGAGCCACAAGTGACCACAGAAAAAGGTTACTTGTTCAGCTGAAGCACAGAATTAAAGTTACTTCTAACATGTGTTTTGGGGTCTGGGTGTGGTTTCTAGATAGCCTGAAATTTCGGTCTACTGTTTTGCCTGTCAGCATTAGCCAAGTTTTGATGTGTTCCAGTTCTCCTAAACTCTGCCGACAGACGCTGAAATCAAAGTTGACATTCAACCTACGCGCTGCATAATCTAATAACGGCACTCGTGCTACTCAAAGCTAACCAAACCTAGGAGCTTTTCTGCTGCAAAACTTGCCTGTCATTTATGTTTTCATCTCTCTTTTCCAGGCAGACTAACTGGGGAAAATGATTTTTTTTTTCTCCAAAAAGCTTTAAAGATAACATGTCATTGTGTTTTTGTATCAACAGGGGAGATCCAAGCTGTAACCTGCCATGTCGAGCACTTGTGGATTTAGCAGGAGTGTGAACAAGGTGAATCCAATTGTCTCAGTGGGGAGCTTGGTGTATACATTGATCCCAGAGTGCAGGGTGAAAACCTGCTCCTAAAGACCTCAGTCTCTGAGTTAGGCAAGGCCAAAATGTCACACATTTGTCAGTGTTTCTTATTAACATAGGAGAAACCGTGGGGGACTTTTTCAGTGCTTGACTAAACGGATACACTCAAGTTTAAAGCATTAGTTTAAAATCTAAACTGTAGCAAATCTCTTCAAACACTCTGTGGTGAGACTCCTCCTGTTGATTTATGCCCCATCACACCAGCTGTAAGTCCAGAGCTGTTGTTGCACTGCTCCAACTGTCTATCCAACAGTGCCACAGGAGCTGAGCTTCTCTGCTGCATTCTCAGTTTCAGCTGAATTCAAACTGTGATGGTTTAATAAGCTATTCACCAAAAATTAGAAAACGTCAGTATGAGAGACACGATTATCACACCATCACCCTGCTAAAACACAAAAATAATGATGCATTTCAACCCTCTTATCACTTCACACTCCAGAGCTTTGGCATTTCAAATAGACATCAGACACAGAAACAGAACTTGTCTCATTTTGCATTTTAGAGCATGAGACTTTTTAACTCCTTAAAGAAAAAAAATCCCACAGATTGCAGATTACTAACCCCTCAGATCTTACACAACTTAAACTGGGAAGAGAAGGAGCTGTTCTATGAATCATATTTTCAGTTTCTGGCAGCACTCTTAGCCTACAGAAGAAGGGTTGCACATTGAAATTCTCACGTTCTCACCGTCAGTTTCTTGGGATTGTTATATCTGAGATACAGCATCTTAAAAATCAGGAAGTTTCTCTTCCTTCACACCTTTATCTTCCTCAGCAAATGAGTGAGAAATCCCAAGCACTTGTGTAAGAGCATTGTATAGGTGCTCCCTAATTTTGAGGTTGATTTTAGCAGTGATTGTATCTCGTCCATGAAAGCGTTGTCTTTACAGATGACATATGCTGTGTTGTGGGGAAACGCAGGATCCCACTGAAAGCAAAATCTCTTTCCAAACTTTGTTCTGCCAGATGCAGCCTCCCCTAGCATTGGATTGCAGCTTTGGTTTTCTTCACAGCAATTTCTGGCTTTTGAAAATCTCCTTACTCAACAATTTGTGCTTGTGGGGAAAATATAGAAACCACACGATATTTTTTTCACTTGTGCTTTTTTTTTTTTTACTTCTCAGCCCTGTTTTTATCTATATCCGTATACTTTGAAACGTGGCTAACCTATAATTATTGAAAGAACAAATAGAGTCATATCACACAACCTGGCATGACACATTAGCTGTTGATTTTTTTTGGCCAACTTGAGAAATGAAGAAGAAAACCCTCCAACTTGGTAAAAATAAATTAGCTAAGTAAATATTACCCAAATAAATAATTGAACCAAAGACAGTGATGTTGGTTTAATAGTAACTACAGATTTATGTATGTGAATACACACATCTCTATATTGAGTGTAGTACTATCACTTGTGGGATTCTCTTTCTAATCTCGTAACTGAATGCAACTGGTGATCTTATCTTACCTCAACACTGTCATTTTCAAACTTAAAAATAAACATTGGAAGCAAGAACAGATCTTTTATGTTAAAACCACGCTGGAGAAGCTACACATGAAAAATATCAGCGTGGTGTTATTGGAATGCAAAGACTTTAATGAAAGCTTAGGTGAAACTCAGCAAGTCTCTGGGGGCATTTCCAGGAATGAGTGATTCTTTTCTGGAGGAGACTCCAAAATCAGATCCAGTTACCTGACTAAAGTGCCTTTACAACTAATTAGGCACTGGTGTCATGCTCATGCTGATTTTCAGCTTTGTGCAAAATGCAGAATGCCAGTCTTGCTCACAGTGAAGTCACTGGCAAACCTTGCTTTGATTTTAATGAGTTCTGGGTCTGACTTAGCTCTTTAAATAGTTGTCTTAAGGTCCAGTTTCTGTTCTTACTGAAATCATTGGAAATTCTCTCACTGATATCAGATGCAAGAAGCAGAGGGTTTAAGTTAGACAGGACTAAAAGAAATTGTGGAGAACTGAAGGAAGAAGTATCCTAATTGGACTTCAGTGACTAATCTTACATAGTGCAGTATAAAAGACCTCTGAGGAGAGCAACTTGAGCTAATAAAACACACAGAGAATACACATTTCTCAACCTGTTAAGCCTTGTCTTTGTGAAAATGGCAAGACCCTGCCAAAGGAGAACAGAAAAGTTACTCGACAGAAGTGCCGTGCTCAGAGATTTCTTCCTCTGGTCTGGTCCTTTACACTTCATGCAAGTAACATCCAATAGCTGTCACTACATGATTCTTTTGCAATGACCATTAAACTAAGCCCTGAGTTGGAGAGGCAAGTCAGTGTGATATTTTGCTGCCCAAAACCTCAGAGGAGTGCACTAAGTGGTAGAAAGAAAGCTAGCAGGAACCCAGGTGCCTGGATTTCCAGTGTCCCGACTGCACAGGGCCCTCAGGGACATCCTCCTACCCTTCCTTTCACCTGCCCCTTCTGTTCAGGGGTGCTGAGTTCTGCTTTGCTTTTCTTAGGAAAATACTGTCTGAGGATGGAGGAGCCTCCCTCAGCCTCTGCTCCTTGTTGTAAACAGAAATAATTTGGTGTTTTTTTCACAGCACAGTTGCCTTTGTTCTCCCATATGGTCTCTTAAGCCAGAACCTTTTCTTCTGAAACTGGTCCAAGAACTGTGGGGTTGAAAGATGCCTTTTTGAAAGGGAGCCACAAAGATGCAGCCTGTGCTGCTCTGAAGGTCTGTCTGCACAGCTGGGGATCAGTGTCATGTCCCTGGAACAGGAGACTCCTTATGAGGTTGTCCCTAGCCGGGGCAGGTGCTGGGTCCTCCCGGAGATAATACCGAACTCTCAGTGAGACTCAGCACTGTCCTTCCTGCAGCTAAACCCAGCTCACCGCGCACCGCGCTCCGGACCGGAGCAAGCTGCGATGGCACAGGGGATGCCCGGCAGAGTTTCTGGGGACGGGGCAGAGACCCCCACCACTTTGGGAGCCCCAGGTGGGAGGGAGAGGCTGAGCCTCAGCCCAGCACTGCCCTGGGCAGCTCAGCACCGTCCCGCCAGCCCTACTGGCATCCCCGCCCGGCGCTCAGTCAGAGGGGGCACGGGAAGGGTCAGTCCCCCCTCCCGGCCCCACAGGTCAGGGCAGCATCCTGGGGCGCCGGGGTCCCTCCGGGGCGCTCCCCGCCAGTCCCCTGCTCCGGCCGTGGGCGGTGGGAGCTGCGGGGCAGTGCGGGGATCGCTCCGGACGATTCCCGGCTCCTCCGCGGGTGCGCACGGCGGGGACACCCTGCCGGGCTGGGAAGGGACCGAGGGAGCGGGGCCCGCTCCGGGCACCGAGTGCTTCCTACCAGTGCGGGGACACCCCGGGAGTCCCGTCCCAGCGCCGGCCCCACCGAGACCCGCCGTGCGACTTCCACTTGCCCTCTCCTCGCCCCCTCCTCGCACGCTCCTTGCAGCCCTCCCGCATCGTCCCTTTGCCGTTTCTTTGCATCCTCTTTGCACTCCCTTTGCAGTTTCCTGCATCCTCCTTCCCAGTCCGCCGCACTCTCCTCTCACCCTCCTCGCACCCTCCTCTCACGCTGCTCCTCTGCCATCCCCACACCGTCCCCTTGCACCCCAATTCCCTGCACACCCCCAGCAACCTCCTGCCCCCTCGCAGCGCCCGGGTGGGTGAGGGAGATGCCGGGGATCCCCCGAAGAAGACGACCCCGACTCCGCCACCCTCCTGCTGCCCCGGGACGGCACCGGCGGCCGGTGGCACCTACCTACGAGCAGCCCTGCGAGCCACCAGCACCGGACCATGGTGCCCGCTGTGTTCCCCGGCCAGAGGTGCCCGCGGAGCTCAGCGGGGCGCGGGGCCCGGCGGTGCAGCCATGGGCAGCCTCCGGCGCTCCGGTGCCCGCGGCGGCGGCACCGCGGCTCCAGCCCGCAGGCGTCCTGCTCAGCCCGAGCCTCGCGGAGGGAGAAAGGGGGAAAAAAAAAAAAAAAAAAAAAAAGGAAAGAAAAAAAAAGTATATATTTTAAAATAAAATATAAAAAAAAACACCGCAGCCCACCCCGCCTTCACTGCCGCGCAGCGCGTCCCCCCGGCTGCTGATGGCTTTAATGGAGCTTGGCAGCCACAGGTTCCCGCTGCCAGAAGAGGTGGAGACTCGGCCGCCTGCGCCCCACATGCGGCCGCGCACCGCACACGCGGGGGAGGAGGAGGAGGAGGAGAGGAAAAGGAGGAGGAGGAGGAGGAGGGCAGCCCAGGCCCGGCACCGCAGACCGCGGACGGGCACCCCCGAGCAGAGCCCGCACCCCCGGCGCTTCTCCCTCAGGGACCCCACCCGCGGCTGAGGGGCTGTCCCGGCACCCCGAGGTCTTGGAGGCACCTGTGGGGCTCGGGCCAGCTCTTTGTTGGGGGACACCATGAGGGGATCATTCCTCCATCCCCATGCCTTGAGGGGATCATCCCCCCCATCCCCACCCCGTGAAAGGATAATTCTCATATCCCCACACTCCACAGGCGAGGGGATCATCTCCACATCCCCATGGCCTGGCTCTTCTGCCCACTGTGTCCATGACCGCCTTAGATCCTCCATCCCCAGCCTTGGCTGCCAGGGTTGTCAAAAGAATGGGGTTAAATCCCCTAAAAATCCTCTCAGCATTCCACATGGAAAAAATATGGGATCTTTTGGAGGCGACTCTGAATGCCCACCTCAGAAGGTGCTCACCCATGCCATCCATTCCCGTTCCATTCTCCAAACCAGGCCCTTGGGACAGAGCTGTGACTGATAAAGGGCTCAGAACTGGCTCTTGGCACCAAGTGAAGCACAAATCTGAACTTAGACGTGTCTGAGACAAAACACTTCTTCTCCTCTGTATTGTGATTAGCAACAAAGCAGCCTGTTCACTCCTCTTGAGCACGTTCAGCAATGTGTGTCCCGCAGTGTGAGGGCTCAGCCGCCTCTGGAAGCAGTGAGGGAAGAGGCTGAGCTGCCATAGCCCTGCCAGGCCAACCCTCATGCCGGTGCTGGCACTAAGGGCTGGAGTTTAATGCATTTTTCCAGGCTTAAAAACTTGGTTCAGCTTTTTATAAGTGAGGCAAAGAAATCAAATCACGTGCGTAGCCCCAGCAAAACCCCTGCACACTCACTTTTCCTGGTGAAACTGGGGGTTTCACCGAATAAAAGGAGACTTCAGGGGAAAAAAAGAAGCTTGTCTCCAAGTTCATGGCAGTAATCCCACTGATTGCAGTGGGGAGAAGTTAAGGCCCAATTCCACAGTCCTGTATTTGCTGAGCAGGGCCTTCAGAGAGCTGGGGTGAGGTCTCAGTGCAGTGGGTTTAATGACTTTGTCAAAATTAATGCATAACATATTTAATGTGAAGTGGGACAAACTTATCTGTCATGGGTGCATAAAGAATTAAATTTTAATGATACTTGCCAAGATAAAAAATAACAAAGTCCATTTGTAATGTAGGCACTCCTTTTTGTAGCTGATGTTTTTATCTCTTTTCGTTTCTCAAATTCCCCAAACCAGTCATTCTCTGTAATGTCCAAACCACTGCGGTTTTATTATATTTACAAATACATAAATTATCAAATGCATAGGCAAAAAAAGGTTGTCCTTTATAACGAAGCTAGAGAGGAAGGACTAATTTCCCAAGAAGTTTCCTTTACAAAGCAAGGCTTACTCTTTTCAGGTGCAGACAACTTAAATGAGGAAAATGATGGAACAGGTAATCTTCTACCACTAACAAACTTCTTTTTTGGCTATGCACCTCTCATATGACACTTCAGACCTCTAATGATATAATCTCCTTCGTTTCTTTTGGAATATTTGTTTGAGGGGAGGAACAAAACCGAAGCAGAGCAGTTTTAGCACAGGTGTTTGGAAATTTTAATAATCATATGTAAACTATCACGAGCTTTTATCCCATATCAGACTCCCAGGACACAGTGATAGATTTCATTCATGTGGCCTCTTTCATCCCTGCAGCTCCCAAGGGAATCATCAAAGCAACCAAATCATGAGCACCTTTTTGGGGTGGGGGGGGAAGAATTCCTCCTGCCACCATCGAGCTGCAGAGCTGCCTGAGCGCAGCTGCCGAGGACGAGCAGAGTGCCACAGCCTGTCAGAAATTCCCCAGGGATTTAGACAGGCCATCGAGTCTTCCAGCCTGGAAGCCCGCCAGGACACCAGGCTTAAATTCTCAGCTCGTGTAAAAATCGCTGGGTAATCTTCGGCTCCCGCCGAGGACCAGCGATGTAAAAATGCCTATAATTTTTATTATCAAATAATTACAGGCTACCTGCTGGGCAAAGCACGTGGAGGGAGACAAATGACTGCAAATGGCCTGTAATTCCAGCAGAACTATGTGACCTGATTTATGCATTCAAAGAGAATAAAAGTTGTTCCTATTCTGATTCAGGGGCACTTTACTCAGGGTGCTGTAAATACTAACACAGCTGCAGGGTAACTGGGAACCAGCCCAAGGTGTTTTTACATTAGCTATGCTTCACTTGCCTGGCACCTTGTGCAATATTCATTCCTGTGCAAAACAGGTACAGAATATTTGAACTCAGAATCCTACACTCATGTCAGCTATACAGGGCAACGAGCTGTCCAGTTCCCAAAGGCCAAATATTTTCTCTTCCCTTTGCCAGACTGGCAGGGATAGGCAACCACACGTGGAGGCAGCAGGCCAGGAAACCAAAGATTGATCAGCCAACAGCTCTGAAAATACTGTTTGTCTGAGGAAAGGCATCCTCTGAGTAGATCCTTGGGTCCCCAAAAAGCCCTGTCCGTAAGCCATAGCAAGGCTGCTTCTGAAGTCCTGTCTCGGAGGGGCAATACCAGGGGATGTACTGGGTGACCTGAAAGTGCTGAGTATGTGCATATGCAACTAATGTTTACCCTGTAGAACCACTTGCACTCTATTTCAGTTTCAGGGGTGTGTTTTATGGGGTGATGGGAATTAGTATGCCCTAGCAGCTCACTGGGACAGCCTAGAGGTTTAGGCACAAGACTCCTACAAAGTATTAGTGAAAGTGCTGTATTAAAAAAGATCTTTCTTAACATTCAGACTCTGCTTTCAGGTGATTTCAGCTGCCATGGATGGTCAGCTGTAAAATGTTATTCTGCATCAGGATAGACTTTAAAGGAACAGCCAACACCTTTCTCTGTGCTTGTGAATGACTCCCAGTCTATGGCTTCTTTTGTCAGGTCTCAGGCAAGAATAGATGGAATTGAATTATATTTCCCTCTTTTGGGGGACTTGTGGGAGAAGACCTAAGTGTCCCTCATGGAACTGTGTTGAATCTCACTGAGAAACTCTGGAGGGAGCTATATACATTTAACACTCTTGGGCTCACCAACAGATGCTCCATAATGCACAGTTGGCAGGTGGGGACTGAAAAAAAACATATAAAAAAGTTATAGAAATAAACAAACCTGTAAAAAATTCTTGGATTTCTCAGGGAAAAAAAAAAAAGGTGCAGATGCTATTCCTTTCAACTAAGTAAAAAGGACTAATATATGCACAGGATTCTTCATCAGAAATACCATGAACAGAGCCTTTATTCATTAAGTCTCAAAACATGGTCCTTTAAGGGAAGACAGCAGCATCTGGGACACAGGGACACAGGGGCCAGGGAGGATGTGTCTTCCTCAGACAAGTAAAAGGTGCCATCAGTGCCTGTCTCAGGGCATTTCCCAGCTATAATGGGCAGTACTGAGTACCCTCTTTCTCTCAGACTCAGCACAGAACAGTAATTCTCTGCTGTATTGTTGCCACACTCTTCACTATTAGTAAAGAAAAGTACCACTGCCCTCCTTGATCACCCATCGTTCCTTACACCAATCTGATCTCAAGCAGGTAATTTCCTCTTGCTTTTCCTTGATTGGCAACAGCCTGGTTGGACTCATAAAGACAGAGTTTTGGTTGTCTTTAGCTGGGATGGGCACCTTCTGACAGTGGAGCACTGAAGGAAATATCACCTTCCTTTGGCCTGTAGTTTTTTCTGTTCAATGAGAAGTAGCATTTTATAAAAATATTGCAGAGTCATGCAATGCATACCCGGTGCATTTTACTGAGCAACAAAAGCAAAATGTGAATAAACCTTCCAGGGCACCTGGCTCAGTATATGTATTTATCTACTAAAAAGCACTGGAGTATTATTTACATGCTTAGCTGGAGTTTGTCCTTTCTAGAGAAGTCTGGACTGCTACCTGTTATACTTGGCTCATGATGATTTAAATAAGAATTTATAGACCCTAAACCATCTGCAAAATGTCCCAGTTCTTCAAGGCCAATGTAAATGCAGTGAGGGGGGAAAACCACAGAAAGAAAAGGTTAACAAGGTTTCTCTTTGCCTCCCCCTTGGCACATTGTATAATTAACTTTATAATGTCTGAGAGCAAAGGGTTGAAGCAGATAAAGTTCCCACATCCTTGCAGATAATTGCAACAGTTTGTGTAGCACATTACACCAGAAGCAGCTTTGTTTGGTGTCACTGCACTCCACGTTGCTGGGAGTGTGTGCACTGCAGGGCCCTGAGGAGCACAGGCTTCACATCTCCACATGAAAGCAGCTCGCTGTGATTTATATCATCGCGCTAATCAGGAATGCGCATTAATTCAAGGTCGCTTTTGGGGCCTGGGGAAGAAGGAAGAATCAAAAATGAGCCAGCTTTCTATCTCGTGCAAGGTGCCACTGTTTTCCAAAGTGTGAAGGAACTAAGTGTGCCGTTAGTTTTTGCAGCTCGAGAAGAGAGCTCTCTGCTGAGAGCCACGGGTGGCAGAACCTTCTTCTGCCCCCCCGACTCTATCAGCATTAAGGAAATTTAGAATTTAAATAAATCTTGAAATTCTAGCCCACGTTTTCTTATGAATGACAGATCCTTCCTGCCCTCAGTCCACCACATTTCTCCAAGCCTGAAAGCTGACGCTTCCTTCTCAACAGCAGAAAGTGGGAAAGACGTTTGTGGTCTGGTGGTTGCACCATGGGGTTGGAAAGCACAAGAAGTGGTGTTTCAAATCTGGGCCAAGTTCCCTGTTCACCATGGACTTGATCCTGCCAGATACTGAGCACCCATTGATTATCCAAGGCCAGGCCCTCACACAATTCATGTGAGTCCAAGT